GGATGCACGAAATGATACGAAGGTTTGAACTGAGTTTATCTCCGTAAATGGTGAAAGCTTCGCCAGAGGGAAGATTGAGACGGATAGCCTTCTCATAGCAAAGGATATCAGCACGATTGGGGCTCAACCAATCCATGCCGATTATGACATCGAAACTCTTTATGGAAACTGGCATAAGATCGATGGGAAAGGAATGATCGTCTAGGGTAAGGGTACAGCCTATGAATATGTCATTAGTACTCTCTTTCTTTCCGTTAGCCATCTCGATGGTGAATGTTTCAGTTAAAGGTTGGGATTTACGTTTGAGTAGATGTTTAAATGCATGACTAACAAAGCTTCTCTCCGCACCAGAATCGAAAAGAATGCATGCATAAGAGTTGTCAAGGAGGAACGTACCCGTAACAACGGTAGGATCAACGACTACTTCCTCCTGGCCCATAGCCAGTACCCTCCCTATGTTGCCAGTTGTTGCATCCTTAGGGCAGTTTCTTCTGAAGTGCCCAACCTCTCCACAGTCGTAGCAGGCTTGACCAGCGCCCGCCCCAGGAGCCTGGTTGGTTGGTTGGACTGGTGCTTTGCAGAATCGAGCTGTATGTCCCTTCTTACCATAGCTATTGCACAACATCTCCCGGCATTGCCCATGGTGATGGAAGTTGCACTTGTTGCACTTAGGAAGTGTACCAGCATATCCACTGGTAGGAGCTTGGGTGGTTAGGACAGCAGCAGGAGTAGTAACAGCATGAACTGTCGTTATTTGCTATTTCTTGGAAGGCTCTTGCGTTGTCTGCCCCTTGCGTTTGTTCCAGGACTTTTTCTTCCCACCGCTCGCCTTCGGTGGTTCAGGAGTGACTGTCACTTCATCCAGATCGACCCCGTGATCTATCAGGGTCTGCGCCAGGCACTTGGCGCTATCGAATGTTGTGGGCCTAGCAGCCAAAAATTCCCTTGAGTTGGGGGCGTCAGTCCCCAGATGTACCTCTCAATTTTCTTGCTTTCCGGGGTGACCATTCCCGGACAGAGGAGAGCCAGATCACAGAATCTAGCGGTGTAGGCAGCAATGTCGGAACCCTTCATCTTCAGGGTCCAGAGCTCGTGCTCTAACTTCTACATCTCGCCCCTCGGGCAGTACTCCGCCAGCATGAGTTCTTTCAGACTCTCCCACCCCATGACATTTGCTACTGGCAAGGTTAGGGATTTGACACGACCATTCCACCAGGTCAGTGCTCTGTCGGTGAATGTGCAAGCGGCGAATTTCACCTTGTTGGCTTCGGAACAGGAACAGATTTCGAAGATGGATTCGATCTTCTCGAACCATCGGGTTAAGGCAATGACTCCACCATTGCCGTCGAAGGACTTGGGTTTGGCATTCATGAAGTCTTTATAGGAACACTCCTTTCGGTGTCCCTGACCTCCATCATGGCTTTGAGTATCGGGCCCACCTCCGGATCCACCAGAGCTGCCCTGGTTGATCTGCGACATCGCCGCAGCCACAGCAGTCGTAACTGCCGCCTGAAACATAGTTGGGTCGAACTGAGGAGGTGGCGGTGGCGTTGGACCCGTTGGGGGATCGTTGTTCTTTCTGTTGGGTCTCTTTCTGGGAGGCATCTTGTTCTAAAAAGAATGAAGAAAAGATGATGGTAAATCCTCTCGGATTTTAGAATCAAGAGATATAATACAAACTATATCTCAGCCTGATAGATAAAGTGTTCTACGAAGCGATAAATAGATAAGGGTTACTGTTGAAAGTAATTATCGCTAAGAAGAAATATGTAGCAACACTTGGAATGAATTCTCTATATTGTGCTCGGCTCTAGCTAAAATACTCCTATAGTATTTTAAATTGAATGTTTTGTTCTATGGATACCTGATATGTATAGACTTGGTAAGTTTTAGGCCTGCTGCAACCCTACAGTCACTCCCAAGCACATGTTGGTCATGTCTCGAATAAATATAGTTGATCAGGCTATATTGATCCTAGACATGATTACATAACTGCCCAGGTTTAACCGCAGTGTCCAATATCCAAATACTTTTGTTTTGTTCTACTTATGACTCTAGTTCTGGTATGTATGTATACTTGTATACTTCTTATAAAATACTTATATTTTAAAAGTATACTTTCAGAGCGTTTCAGCCCCTTTGTGTTTATAGTTGTATACCATGTAAGGTTCGGTATACTTAGTTCACTATAAACAAGAGCTCTGATACCAATCTGTCACACCCCCAAACCGGAACGGCGGAAATGTTCGGGGGTGGAGGACGGCATGTATAGTATCACAACAATTGTATCATAGCAATCATAGTAAACACAACCAAACATTGAATACATGTGTGAAAAAGGTTTACATCTGTGTTAGTACTTGTTTGTTTACATCAAAAATAATAGCAAAGTAAAAAGACATGACTCCGCCTCCGTCTTCTCAGAACTCCAGAAAGTACCTGTCTACTGATTTCCTGAGAATACAAGCAGTTTTGAAAGAGTATCAGCATAAAGCTGGTGAGTTCATAAGCTATGTTTTGTAGTGAAAACTTGTTGATGTATCTTGTAAATTTTTCGTACGTTTCCAAGAAAATCCAATATTTTCTTTAGTAAAAGCAGGATGTTACCAGTATGTATTGTATATTCTATTGAAAACCCTGGCTACCACCAGTATGTATAGTATGTTCCGTTTGTAAACCCTGGCTACCACCAGTATGTATAGTATGTTCCGTTTGAAAACCCTAGCTACCACCAGTATGTATAGTATGTTCTGTTTGAAAACGCTGGCTACCACCAGTATGTATAGTAGTTTCATTATTTAAAATAAAACCAGTTGATGTACCCCTGGAATCCTCCAGTGTAATGTATAATAGTTCTATTAATTTAAATAAAACTAATGAAGAATGAAATTTCGTAAACACAAGTTAGTTTATACTTATTGTGAGTTGTATAACCATGCTTGATATGACTGATGACCTCAACGACGTTCTTCAGGCGTCGTACGGTATGATATTTGTCACCCCAGGCATGCCTGCCTAACTGTAGCTAGCAGTTTAGGTGTGGGATTGTCAGTCCCGAATAGATCTATTCACAAATCTCACGCTCTCCCTCCAGGAGACTCTGGTTAAACTATACGTTGAGGATTTTACCAGTACCCCGAAGGATACAAATGAAGAGGAATCTCACAATCCTGTATTAACTAGTTTACGTGTGGTTCTGTAGTGATCTACTGTATTGAACTCTGTATGTATAATGTATAAGATAATAATTATACTTAAATAATTATTATATGTTGTTCTCTTGAAGTAACGTATAACTCAGTGTAATGAAAACCCCAAACTATACCTATTATAGTTTGCATGAATATAGTATATCTGATTCGTATATTGTTCTGAAAACTATGCAATCATGGTTGTATGTTGGAAAGTGCCCTTATGCTCAACATCGTACAAAAGGGGATAAAATATCTGAATATTTTATGAAAACATGAAAATCGTATGTTTGAATCAATTGCATAAGTTTTATACGTGTTAAAAGTCCCTTTGTAATAGTTTCACAAAATCATTTGTGTTTAGCTTGTATTCCCCCCTGAAAACGTTTAAAAATCATGAAAAGCGTAGGGGTATGAACTCACCATTGATGTGTAAAAACGTATACTGGAAACGAAGATCCTCGAGTGGTTGTACTTGGCACTTAACGGAAACCTAATATCAAATAAATACACATGCATATGTATCTAAATTAGCGATTTCGCGATATAAAGTGTTAGAAAACACTTGTTTTCGGTTAAGGAATGTTACCGGGACTTGATCGAATCGAGGAAAGTGGGTTTTCGGGACAACTGCACCACTTAAAAGGTGTTTACGGTCGACAGGCAGTTTACGACCGTGAACAGGGTTTACGGTCGTAAACTGAGTTTACGGCCTTTGCAGGTCTGGTGAGTTTACGGTCGGAAATGGGTTTACGGTCTATGAAGATCGACCGTAAACTCAAGAACAGTGATGTTGTTTTCGATGAAAACACGTTTTAGACGATCCTCAACAACCTCCAGGAGTGTTTTCTGATGATTTTTAGAGAGGAAAGAGGGTGTTTCAGAGTTTACGGCCAGAGGTTCTAGAGAGAGAATGAGAGAGTTTCCGGTCAGAAATGTTCAAATGAGGGTGAGAGTCTCATATTTATAGGGGATTTTGTGGTCGTTGGGTGGGGTCTACCCAACGCTGGCCGCAAACGAGTTTACGGCCGTAAACAGGTTTACGGCTGTGAACTCCAATCAGGCCGTGAACATGCTGTTTTTCGAGAAAATTGAGCTTCGCACGGTTTTGGTTTCCGACTCGCATATATAAATTTAATTATATAGAACCCGATGATATTCTAAAACAAAAAGTTCGTCGGAAAATAAATAAAATCCAAATTTTATTAACGGAAATCGTGTAACAGAAACGGAAAAAATTTCGGGTTGTCACAATGTTTCTTTTACTTAAAATTTAAACGAGTTCTAACCAACTCTCATCTAAAGATACTACGTTCAAAGTTCATAATCTAAGCTTGATGATGACGTCATCTACATTGTTGGCCACCTTCCCCTAAGGAACCTTGATCTATGAAAAACCCTCCATCTACGATGCTCCCATCATCCCGTGAATATCAACACTCGCTATTTGTAACCATGGGTGAACATTTGGACCTTCGTTTTCTGTAAAAAGTCTGGTTCAAGAGCCGGTTCGGTCCAAATACTCACCTCTACGTCCAAAATCGGGAGCCAGACCTGGACCTAGACCTGATAAGCCTCAATAAGTCCGATCCAAGGTCCACAAATTTCTGCAAAACCGATCCGGTCCAAGAGCCGGTTCGATCCGGTCCGGTCCAAATGCTCACCCTACTTGTAACTACTTAGTCAAGACTTGTACCAAATAATAATAGGTAAAAAAAATTGATTATTACATATTATATAATTTGGCATGTAATAAAACTTAAATATACAAAGCATTTTTATTTTTTATGATGGTTTTTTGAGCAAGTATTTCTTCTTCCACCCAACTCATAAAATCCTGCGGCTTCAGCATCGACATGGCGGACGATAAATATTTCGAGAGCCTTACATCACTGTCGGCGTCGCTTATAGTCGATCAATTTTGACCTAACTTATTTTTCCACATTTTGTTGTCTGAGGCGGCGGCAGAGGTGGTGGTGGTGGTGTATCAACAATCAGTTATGGGGCGGATCATGGAATGGGCGGGCAGGCCAAATCACTTGGGAGGATTACCAAGGAAGACTGTGATAATGGCAGTCGGAACTTTCGCTAAAGCGGTTGCAAGTCTCCTAAACTCTACTTCTGTTCATAACGCAGACACTCTCCTTAATCTCGTCAGATCTCGACCTCCTGGTGTTCCTCTCATCACCGTTAGCAATCACATGTCCACGTCAGTCAGTTAGTCTCTTTTTCGTTACTTCTCTTCAATTTAATCATCTCTCGTTCTTCACTTCTCTTCAATTTTATGATCTGAATGCAATTAGGCTTGCACTTTGCCAAGTGCAGTTGCATAAGCTTCTCTGACATACTACTGATTGAATTTTCACTACTATGGGGGTGTTTGATTGTGTGTTGTTTAAGTAAAAGAGTTTTTTTTTTTAGAAATTTTTGATTATTGAGGTGTAAAACCCTACATATCCATAACTATAGTCCTTTGATTATCCATTTTGATTGATTTGAAGTCATGATGATCAGTTTCAAAATGTAGATCCAAAATCCCCTTTGTTTCTTGTATTTTATAAAATTCCTGATGAAGAGAAAAGTTTTTAAGCATTGTTTATAATTGTGTTGTGTACTTCTTACAGATTGGATGATCCTGTAATGTGGGGATTCAAAGGTTTCCCAACATGTAATGCTGAGTTGCAACGATGGGTACTAGCTGCTGAAGACATTTGCTTCAAAAATCCAGTCCTTTCATATTTTTTCAGGCTTGGTATGTGTCTTTTTTTTGTACATATTCTAAGTTTTATGGTTTTTGTATGTTTACAACATGTTAGGGCAATAAGGCTTCTTGATAAGCTAACTTATTGTGTTATATAATTTGCATAATCTGTTTCTATTATAAAAATGTGGAAATATGTCATCTTGGTTTAAACGGATCTCAAGACGTATGTGGAAGAGGAATATGATATAAAATTATAAATTATTGGAAGAAAATACTGGTTTTCCTATTGTTTCTTTAATTTCTAAACCTTTGATGGGTTTAAAAAGGGTAAAACCGTAAAATCTGCAGGGAAATGCATTCCAATTACTAGGGGTGGTGGAATCTATCAAGAACACATGAATGAAGCTCTTGATCGATTAAGTAATGGTGATTGGGTACTTCCTCTATATTTTTCTAATTTTACCTATAACCTGTTTATGCAGTTGAAATTGAAACATTGTTGCATAAATTGGTAAAAAAAAAGTGAGACATTGTTGCATAAATAACCTTTTAACCAGCACCAAATCTTGATGTAACTGTAATTTTGTGTCCCCCCATCAAGATTCAAGGCTTTATTTTAGACTTTTCCTCATTTTTACACCAATATTTTTACATGGTTGCATAAATTGGTAAAAAGTGAAACATAGTTGTATAAACTGTTAAAAAAAGTGAGACACTATTTGCATAAATAAGCATTTTATTTTAATTCGACAGCTACACACTTTTCCTGAAGGAAAAGTCTGCCAAGAAGATGAACCGATAAGACGATTAAAATGGGGAACCGCCAGTCTCATTGCTCGTGCCCCTATAACCCCAATTGTCTTGCCAATTTTTCATCTCGGTCTCCAAAAGGTAAATTATATATATATATATATATATATATATATATAATTGGTAGTATCATGTCAACAAGATGATATGATACTACCTAGTGGGGACCACTTTGTACCTGATATACATCATGTCAGATGTATATGAGGTACAAAGTGGTTGTGGCCCCCAGTGGGTAGTATCATATCATCTTGTTGACATGATACTTTCTATTACAAAATTACATTGTCTTAGCAACTATTCAATTTCTTTATAGGTGATGCCCGAAAATTATATTTTTGGCAAAAGACCTCTTATACCCTTATGGAAAAAAGATATAAAAATAATTGTTGGGGAGCCGATAGAATTTGATATTCCCAAGTTAAAGCAAACGGCTTTATTGGCTTCTAAAGATTTGCTGCCTTTTCAAAAATACGGTTGGCCGCCTTTTGGGGAGATGGATGAGGTGGCACAAAGATGCCTTTACATCGATATATCAGAACGGATTCAAAGTGTGTTGGAGAGATTACGGGTTTTAGGTAGGAAGCCAAAGTTGTGAAACTTTTTTTTTGTCTAATTATGGCATTGTACTTTCTATTCTTTAATTAGGAAACTGTGATTATAGCAATTAGAATTATTTTGAATTTGAATGACTTTGTTAGATTTTTCACAATAGAATGGTTGTAATAGGAAAAATAAAATAAAAGATAATATAATAAACAGTTTTTTTTCTTTTCTTTTGCATCGATCATCATATCCCGTAAATAATATTGTTTTGACAAAACTACAAAATTGGTCCTTGTGGTTTGCAAAAAACTTTGGATAGGGTCCAAAACGTTTTCAACCTGCATTGAAGGTCCAAAATCAAAAACTTCTTGTGATTATGGTCCAAAAAATCTTGAAAAGACTATTATGCCCTTTTGTTTTCTTTTTTACATTTCTTTCTTATTTTATTAATATTAAAAATAATATAAACCCCCACACAACACACTCTCTCTCTCTCTCTCTCTCTCTCTTTATATATATATATATATATATATATATATATATATATATATATATATATATATATATATATATATATATACACTTCAATTTCCTCAAAACCTATAACCAAAATCTGAAGTTTCAATCAGTTCGCAAACATAGTTTCCATTAGATTCACTTAAAATTTGGTGCAAGTTCAAGGCTACGGCTCTCCGTATTTAATTGGTATCGGATGAGTAAGCCAATAACCCAATGAGTTCTTAGAATTAAAAAAAAAAACAGATCAAAGGGGGGGGGGGGGGGGGGGGATGGCTTCTACCTGTGAGAATGAATGATCCAAAAAAAAAGTAATTGATTTATCCTTATCTTCTTTCCAACCAGATTATACGCACAAAGAGACCCCAAAAACACTTTGTTCTTGAATTTTTTTTGCCCACCTTCAAGAACAAACGACCATGGATGGGAATTGAAGTTTACATTCAGAAATTTGAAATATATATTGAAATCCCCAAACACTTGAACTCGTCCCTCATTCTTTATGCTAGATTTTATGATGATTTGGAGGTTTGGTGTTCCAAAGGTACAAATCTAAGCTCATCCCCTACCAGATAAGAATCACCATCTCTACCCTTATTCCTCACCATCTTCACCTGAAACTCGAGATAAAAAAGAGAGAATACTCGGTTCAATGATTTACACCCATAATCCTTTGTTCTTCACAACTTTGTTACACCCATCAAAACAAGCGATCGATTCAGAGTGAGGAGAAAAGAAAATGACCTAATTCTTTTAGCATAACGATCTTCAAACACACTTGGAGGATCAATTGCGTGAGTAATTGTTTTACTGAAGTGTAGTTGGGCATCGTGGTCGTTTTACTAAAGTGTAGTTAGGTATAGTGAGTAATTGTTTGATTTTCTACAAGAAGTAACAAGATGAGAGAGAGAGAGAGAGAGTCGTGTGGTGGGGGTTCATATTATTTTTAATATTAATAAAATAAGAAAGAAATTAAAAGAAATGTAAAAAAGAAAACAAAAGGACATAATAGACTTTTTAAGATTTTTTGGACCAAAATCACAGTAAGTTTTTGATGTTGGACCTTCATACAGGTTTAAAATGTTTTGGACAAGTTTTTCGCAAACCACAAGGACCAATTTTATAGTTTTGCCTATGGAAAGGGTAGACCTGGAGATGGAAAGGGGTCGGGGAATCAGGCGCAGTTGGGCCCATCCTTTAGAAATTGGGCCTTTCTTGGCCCATACTGGTTCTTACTCCGTTACACAAACAAACTCAACTTGTGTCTATGGGGTAATCTTAAGGAAAGCTATAACATTTAGAACAAATTTAAGAATTGGTTGTTTTTATAATCATTTCAAAATAAAATTGATTTTAGTTATGATATTCGAATTTGATTATTATATTAAAAGTTCATATAAGTCTTGTTTCCATATTCATGTAGACTTTTTGTCAACTGCTTAAGCTATATTTATGAATAATCGGTTATAACTATTTTTTTCATTAAAAATAATACTCTCATCCACATATAATAATTCAATCAACCAAATTCAAGTTTTTGCCAACTATTTATCTAATAACAAAATAATTAAAATATGTTACTTATTATTGTTTTTTTTACTTTTGCATTTAACTCGTTTAAAAAAAGCAGTGTGAAGAACAATAGAATCGTTGCAAAAATGAATGCTGCATACGCCAGACTTCCTTCTACTACCTCTCCTTGCCAGTTCAAAGACAGCAACAACCGCCGCCTCATCGCCTTCACCACGCCGGAAAACTACGCCGTCCGTCTCTCCCACCTCATCCACCTCAAGGGTTGGACTTCTCTCTGGTGCCCCACCATCGCCGTCGAACCCACCACCAACACCAAATCATCTATCCTCCAGTACCTCTCACCTCCAACACCCCTCATTAATCAATTCTCAGCCCTCGCTTTCACCTCAAGGTCAGGAATCTCAGCTTTCTCCGATGCCTTATCGGAGCTCACCTCCACACCATTATCCCCATCCGGCGAAGATTTCACAGTTTGTGCTCTCGGAAAAGACTCGGAGTTAATCGATAACTCATTCGTAGGTAAAATCTGTAACAACAGTGAAAGAATTAAGCTTTTAGTTCCTGAAATATCGACGCCGGCGGGTCTGGTGGAGTCGCTGGGGTACGGGAGTGGCCGGCGAGTGTTGTGTCCGGTGCCATTAGTGGTGGGGTTGGAAGAACCGCCGGTGGTTCCCAATTTCTTACGAGACTTGGATATAAAGGGGTGGGTGGCGGTGAGGGTGAACGCATACGAGACACGGTGGATGGGACCGGAGTGCGCGGCGGAGTTAGTAAAGAGAGATGGTGGTTGTGGGGTGGATGCGATTGTGTTTACGAGTACAGGGGAAGTGGAAGGGATGTTGAAGAGTTTGAGGGCGATGGGTTTGGATTGGGAGGCGGTGATGAGAGTGAATCCAGGGATGGTGGTGGCGGCGCATGGGCCGGTGACGGCGGCCGGAGCGAAAAGTCTTGGAGTGGATGTAAATGTTGTTAGTAGTAGGTTTGGAAGCTTCGATGGTGTTGTAGATGCTCTTGCTTTATTATGGAATAATTAAGTAATATTTTCAAGAAAAAGACTGTTGTTTTGACTTGTACATGTTGCTTTCAAAAGTTGTACATTGAATCATAATTATAACAATTAATTAATAGCATTAATAACATTATTAAATAAATAAAAATATAAAAAAATAGCAATTCTACAAACCCAATTTCCAATCCTCTATATACTCAACAAAACAAAGAAAACAAATTTCTATTCAAACCTATATCTCCCAAGCCAATTTACTATGCTAATGTGTCCATAATCATCTATGAACCCTTTGGTCAAACACCCGAGCCCAAGTCAAACGGCACGGCTCGAACCACAAGTGGTGCGCTCACCCGCACCTTTCCGTTCCTCCATTGTAACCAACCAAACACATAGCCTCGAGGCTCGCCGGAAAATCTAAAAGTGGCGGTGAAGTTCATTTTCTGGCCATATCCGCTAAACACAAGCCTCCGTGGCACAATATCGACCTCCACCCCACGTGGCGGAGCCACCACGAAGGTCCAAACGGTTTTTTTGTCTGAGTTTCCAACGTAAGTCAAAGTTCTAGTCACCGAGAAGTTTGACTTTAAGTAGGGTATGACAATTGAAGGGTAGTTAAGGTTTGAGGGCGTTGAGAACGGTTGGTCTTCACAAGTGGTGTTGTCTCGAGTGATGAGGCGAAGTGACTTTTGGTCGTAGCCGATTGAGCATAGAAAGGCTTTGTGGTCTGTGGGGGTTGAGTCATAGACTAGACCAGGGTTAAGGACCGTGGTGGGGTTGATGAAGCCTGAGCCGTAGTCGAATGGGTTCGCTTTTCGACCTTCGGGGTCGACCCTCATTGGTTTTCCAGTTTTGTCAAAAATCAAAGCTGCATGAGATAGGAATTGGATAAGCTTTAGGTTTTATGACCTTAAGCAGTATTAGACATTGCAGAACATGTTGTACTAAGTTTGACATGTATTTGACCGGGATTGTAACTAATGTCAATGTGACAAAATTTGCAATTTTTTCTCCTGCCTAAAAAGGTGAGAGAAGGACTAGCCATCGATCTGTCGTTCGTGCAAAAGACGTAAATGCCCTCTTCATCGTCGTCATATGAAAAAACCCTAAAAAACTTATCCAGTTCCGTCCGATTCTCTCTCCGAGTAACAAACGCAGCCTAAGACTCCGTTTGTTGCATAGAATAGGACGGGACTTGACAAGTTTTTAGGGCTATTTACAATGACAAGGATGAGGAGGATGTTTACGTCTTTTACACAGACGAGAGATCGAGAGCGAGTCCCTATCCCACTTTTTTAGTAGGGACAAGAAATTGCAATTTTTGTACCATTAACATTAGTCAGTCTCAGTTCAACGCACGTCAAACACAATGCAGTATACTGGTGCCTAAAGGTATCAATAAAAGTTGTTTACCGGTTGTCATAATAGCAGATTTAATTGCAGAAGGAGACCATGTGGGATGGACAGCTTTAATCAATGCTACAATTCCAGTTACATGAGGGCAAGCCATGGAAGTTCCAGACAAAATATTGTACTTCAGTTTTTGCCCGATCGCTGGAGACCATGCTGCAAGGATATTCAATCCGGGAGCCGCAACATCCGGCTACAAAACAATTGTAGTAAATTACTATTATGGGTGAAGAATTGTAAATATATTGCAATTATGTGTAAACACTGCAAGTACTTTGCTATCATAAAGAATAAATTATATTTTACAAGTTTCAAGTTACATACTGTTATTATCCATAAAACATGCAAGTAAGTTGCAATTATGGGTAAAAAAAATACAAGTACATTACTTAGATTGGTAAATAAAAGTACATTGCTATTTCTGCAATTAACGCTTTTTTTAAGTAAGGTACGTAGTCAAACCTTTAAAATTTCTGGGGTTAATCCATTGGGACCTTTAGATGAAAATGATGCTACACGAGGAGCAGCTTGAGATCCTAATACTGCCTCCGATGAGTAAATCCGTGAACTTGGTTTCCTGAAATTAGACAAAAAAAAAGTTATAATAGTTGTCTTGTACGGTGTTTAACATGCATTGGACTGAGACTAAGACAGATATAAATAAGACAAAATTGCAAGTTTTTATCTATACAAAAAAAGTGAGA